GAGAGAGAGAGAGAGAGAGAGAGAGAGAGAGAGCGAGAGAGAGGTGTATAGTTTAATAATTTGTTTGAATATGGTGAGAAATGACTTTTAAGTCTTTTTTGCTTTCTCTTGTTATATCATCCTAATTCTTGGTAATATACTCTTGAGGCGTATAACTGTGTTCAAACATTCTAAATACACTAGAAAAGCTGGTGCTCACAGACAAATTTTTCTCCATGAATTTCTTCAATTTTAAGGAACACATATCTTCAGCATGATTTGTGCAACTGGTCCTAACGTTCAATATGTTTATCACTCTCTCTCTCTTTTTCTCTGCTCGTACCTCTTGTTCCTTCCTCTCGTTTTTTGTTATTGCAGCTTCTAGATTTAAGAAAATAGAATCTGAAGCATAGCTTGTACATATCAAAGAAACCCTGTTTATTCCTTATACTATGTTAACAAGAAACTGTTACTTCTCAATAGGTATATTAATTTGAGAAATTATGAGTTATCAAAACCATAAAAAATGAGATTTTTTTCCCTATCTGGATAATTGACCTGCATATACTAATGGAGGTGAAGAGAAGGAGTTTAGTTTTTCTGGATGTGATGAATTAAAGTAATTGAAAAAAAAAGAATTTATATTTAACAGTTTAAACTTTATTTTCTTGGTTTGTACAATACTTTAAAGCTTATTACCATAGTTTTAATTTCTTTACTTTTTTATATTGCATTAACATATTATTTTTGGCATTAGCTACTTAAATCTAGTTCTTTTCACAGGCTTTATTTTAAAACAATATAAAATATAGGTATGTTTTGATTCAACACTAAGAGAGATCAAATAAGAAATTATAAGTGAATAGTGTTGTTTTCATTTCTATGCCTCTTTCTCAGTATGCTCATCCATTTACCCATACATATGGCATTAAAGATCTTAGAATTTGAAAATTAAGTTAACCTCTGATCTTCAAATAATATAAAAATGATAGTAGTTTTTGATATAAACAAATATATTTCTCTCTTATATCATGGTTTTGTTTGCCTTACATGTATTTACTACCTATATTGTAACAGGTGGTTATTTCCCACTAAAATATATTGGCTTCCTTCCTTCAGAGAAGCTAAAACCTAGTGGGGAGAATGGCTAAACAATGAAAAATACAGCAATGCAGAAGGTCAAGGGCCAAGAAAAAGGCTGTGTATGAGCCCATATATATTTTAAGTTGCAAATGATGACCTTATGCTGTTTTTTATGAAAACAAATTTCATAAAAATAGTGTATCTGTTTATTATAGAAGAAATTCATGTCTAATATGGGAAAGTTAGAAATTTGATTTAAGTGAAAGAAAAAAATATTCTAGATGGTTGTTATCCAGTATTCATCATTGTTACTTCCAATTTAATAACTCTATGTAGATAGCTTTACTAAATACCATAATATTATGCATATTTTATAGTAATGTGTCTTTTCACATATTATATCACAACTGTTATTCCACCCACACCTCTGAGACCTCTGACACATCTTAGTCAGATTTTGGAGGTGTCTATTTTGAATTATTTTCAAGATAGAGAGTCCCAGGTTAGTTACAATTTTGTCTTTATAGATTAGTAGACATGCTGATGTGGTAGAATGGACCTGTATTATTTGGTGGTTCTGATATCAAGCTTGGCTTGACTAATACAATCTGCATGTTGCTGTAAAGGCATTTTTTTTAGATACGATTAACATTTAAATCACTAGACTTTTGGTAAATCAGATTATCCTTTATAAGGTAGGAGGACACCGTCCAATCAGATGAAAGCTTTAAGAGTAACCACTGAGTGAGGTCCCTTGAGGAAGAGAGATTCTTTCTCCAGACTGCATTTGACTCAAGACTGAAACTTCATCTCCTCCCTGCAAACTACACTTGTACCTTTAACTCAACATGTCTGTAGCCCTTAGATTTGATTTACTGCTAACCGTTATCTGGCCCCTCATAATATCTGGACATGTGAATAGATAGTTTAGGGAGAGATTAATTTCCAGGTGGGAAGACCAGATCGCAATCAACCAAATTTTGTAATGAAATTATTCACCTACAATAATTTCTTAGGCAGGTCTGCATTTTATATGAAGTTTTCTTTCATTACTAGAAAGACAGTAATATTGAATTAGCTAGTTAAGTATGAGACACATGCATAATTGGAAAGCTGACAGTGTAATGGGAAGACTACACTACATAAACTTTCATCAATTATGGTTTGACTTAATGGAGTTAGAAATCAAAATGGCTCACTTCTTCACCTTTACTTACTAATGCTGTGTTCTCAACTCACTTTCAAGGAAGCAAAGTAAATTTCATAATGTTCATTGGCTCTCACATGTTAAAAGCCCTGTTCCTTATCTCCAAATGTTTATCCTAGAAGCTATTGCACTTGTTCTGGATAAGTGAATTTTCTTTTCATGTTTCTTTTGCTTATTTATTATGCAGCTTATTATAACCTCTAAATGGGAACATGAAGTACAAGAACAGTTGAATCATTTTCTGGAAATTACACTAATACAAATGAGTAAACAAAATTGTATTTTCGATTACATATAAAATGGAACAAATTTTAATGACCTTCTTATCTTAGTGAGACGCTTGTTAAGGATTAGTAATTTAAAAGACCTTGGAATTATTAACCTCTGTTATGGATTTGGGAAGGACAGATTATGAAGACTTCTTCCTCTCCTTGATCCTAGATTGAGGGGATAATTTTGAATAGAAAAATTTCACATGTCCTCAATACTCTCTGCTTGGGAGAGTTTGACACTTCAGAAGTCATAGCTCTTTCAACAGTGGTTAGCACTTTTCTAAACAGGTATTCTAAAGAAGATCCTATCAGCTGCTCCTAAGGAAAATTCACAGCTGCTTGCTAAACCCCACCCCTCAGATAGGTAATTATCAAGTATCACTTTTAATGCCCTGTTAGTTTGGAATACTGCAGCCAAATATCCCTACCAAGTAGCATGAGGTTTCCTCTAGCAACCAATGTTGGATCTTCGCCTCGCCATAATCCTGGCACATATGTATGCCTCTTCCGTTATTTTAAGCTGTTTGTGCCACTTGATTACGTACCAATGAACAACAAAATTCTGGCACATCATGTAGATTAAATACTCTTCCTGAGATCTACCATATCTACTGATGATCTGCTCATCAGAATGGGCATGAGCCTTCTTACTATTTCATTTACTATTAAAACCAGAAACCATGTCATTAACCCAGGTTACACACTTAGACTCTGAATGGTTCATCATTTGTGTCAGTCGAAGAGCCTGTTTGGATCAAGTATAATTTCTCCCAAAGAAAATAGATCCAGCCTGAGAAGCAGGAGGTCAGGATAGGCATGAACGAAAACTATTGTGAAGATAACACAAGAATAGCATGGTGTGTGTGTTTATGTGTCTTTGCTTTAAAACAATTGAAAACAGTAATCTAAGTAATCATAATTAATTTTTTGTACAGAAAATAATGTAAGGGCTTTTAGGTAATTTGGTGAATATTAACATCTTAATTTTTTACTTCATATTGTTTTCTATGACTTAAGCACAATGTGAATATCACAAAAGTAATATAAATGTTAACATTAAGATAATTTGCTCTTGTATTTAATGGTAATATCCAACATATTATAAAATCTTGAATAAAATTTCCCAAAAATAAAGCCATATTAAGCAGCAGTGATTACTAGAAATATTGGATTATTTTTACATGACTCTTGTAAACACTTAAAAAAAGTTTGGATTATGACATGTTTTTTTTTTGTCCCAAAAGACCAAGTTTAATTACTATTAACTTATAGAAACCTTTTAAAAAAATATATTTTATTGATTTTTCACAGAGAGGAAGAGAGAGGGATAGAGAGTTAGAAACATCGATGAGAGAGAAACATCGATCAGCTGCCTCCTGCACATCCCCCACTGGGGATGTGGCCGCAACCGAGGTACATGCCCTTGACCGGAATCGAACCCAGGACCCTTGAGTCCGCAGGCCGACGCTCTATCCACTGAGCCAAACCGGTCAGGGCAAGAAACTTTTTAAATATAAAAATTCAAACATCTAAAGAAAACGTGCAAAAGAGTGGCTTTAATATTAGATGTCATTATTCTTCTTTTTGTCTTTCAGGAATACACAATTGATATTATTTTTGCCCAAACCTGGTTTGATAGTCGTTTAAAATTCAATAGTACCATGAAAGTGCTTGTACTTAACAGTAATATGGTTGGAAAAATTTGGATTCCTGATACTTTCTTCAGAAATTCAAGAAAATCTGATGCTCATTGGATAACGACTCCTAATCGTCTGCTTCGAATTTGGAATGACGGACGAGTCCTATATACTTTAAGGTAGTACTGTTTTAAAAAGTGTCATTGCTCTAACTTATTTTTCATGCTAATATTTGGTCAACTCATGAATTTCCCCTTTTTAAAGTTGCAGAGTAAGTAAGAACTATGATGCTCCTTTTATACATTAAAATTAGTATGGTGAAATTTTTTTAAAAAACTCAAGTTCAGAGTAACACAGTGATTTTTTTTTATAATGTAGTAAAAAAAAAGTCTTTAAGAAAAGATTAAATGAATGCTGATGTGTACGATTCAGGTTTATCTAATTCATTGTCATGAGCATATCTACTTCTTAAGGATAACCCATAATGGAAAGATGTTCATGATAAATTAAGAGAAAAACTTATCATACTTAACCATGTACACTCTGCTAATTGTTTGTGTGTGTGCACATGCACAAGCCCATATGTATGTGTATTGATCCCCTGAAGCACAAATTTTTAACTGTAAAAAGACATTCTACTAACTGGATACAGAGGTAGGTTAGTTGGCTAGAGAGGGAAATGTTAGAATTATCTAACTCATTTATGAATGTTATAATATTGCCACTTAAGATTTAAAGATTATAGCATTATTATTTCCTAGTATATCGAAGTTCATTATTGTAGGCCAAAATTATGCTTGACAATTAGAGAAGATATTTGCAATACTTGAAATTACTTCTCATTTTTAATATTTATTTTTTCCATCTAAATAGATTGACAATTAATGCAGAATGTTATCTTCAGCTTCATAATTTTCCTATGGATGAACATTCCTGTCCACTAGAATTTTCAAGCTGTAAGTGATAAAATACATAATAATTTCTTGGATCAACAGATATATAGAGACTAATGAGAATGACAAAACAACATATCAAAATGTCTGGGATGTAGCGAAAGCAGTAATAAGAGGGAAGTTTATATCATTACAGGCCAATCTCAAGAAACAAGAGAAATACCAAGTAAAAAACCTAACATTAAATCTTAAAGAACTAGAAAACAAAGAACAAAAATCACCCAAAATCAACCAAGCAAGGAAATAGTAAAAATTAGAGCCGAATTAAAAGAAATAGAGAACAAAAGGACTACACACACAAAAATTAATACAACAAAGATCTGATTCTTTGAAAAGATTAATAAAATGGACAAACCCCTGGCTGACTCACTAAGGAAAAACGAGAAAAAACTCATATAAACAAAATTGGAAATGAAATAGAAGTTACCACAGACATCACAGATGTACAAAGGTTCATACTAGAGCATTATGAAAGACTATATCCCACCAAATTCATTAACTTAGGAGAAATGGATAAATTACTAGAAATATATTACCTTTCTAGACTGAATCATAAAGAATTGGAAAATCTAAATAGACTGGTCAATAGAGAGGAAATTTAAAAAACCATCAAAAACCTCCCAAAATATAAAAGTCCAGGACCAGATGGCTTCACCAGTGAATTCTACCAAACATTCAAAAAGATTTGATACCTATCCTGCTCAAACTTTTCAAAAAAAAAAAAAAATGGAGACAATACTTCCTAACATTTTATGAGACAACTTAACGCTGATACCAAAAATTGCCAAGGATAACACAAGAAAGAAAACTATAGACCAATATCTCTGATGAATACTGGTGCAAAAATCCTAAATAAAATACTATCAAATGGAATACAACAATACATTAAACAATTAATACGTTACGATCAAGTGGAATTCATTCTAGAGGCACAATGACGTTTCAGCATATGCAAATCAATCAATGTAATACACCACGTTAACAAAAGATTAAAAAATCATATGACCTTATCAATAGATGCAGAAAATGCATCTGATAAGATACAATATCCATTTCTGATTAAAACACTCAATAAAATGGGCATAGAAGAAAAGTACCTTAACATAATAAAGGCCAAATATGAGAAACCCTCACCTAATATAGTCAATTGTGAAAAACTGAAAGTTTTTCCTCTAAGATTAGGAATAAGACAAGGATGTCCATTCTGACCACTCTTATTCAACACTAGAGGCCCGGTGCACAATATTCTTGCACAGGTAGGATCCCTAGGCCTGGCAGGTGATCAGGGTCCATCAGGGTCTTCTGGCTGCTGGCCAGGGCCTTCCTTTCCTAGCTGCCGGCTGCCAGTGGGGGCCTTCCTTTATTCCCCAGTGCCCCCTGGTGGTCAGCGCACATCATAGTGAGTTATCAAACTCCCGGTCTCCTGACCAAACTCCCAAGGGGATACTTTGCGTATTAGTCTTTTATATATATACTAGAGGTCCGGTGCA